TCTGACTTTCTGTATGTCTGGCAATTTTGCCAAGTCTGTGCTATGGTTTGGGCCATGCACTTTCCAATGTTCGTGCCGCTGCTCCAGTTTTTTCTTTGTTTGCAAGATGTTAGTTGTGCCTAGGCCAGGGCATTACCGTGCGATAATACCGCAATTCATCATTATTATATTCTGTCTGTGGCTAATGTTGCTGTCTTTTGTTTTTTTTTTGTTTGTTACCATGTTTGCACGTCAGTTGCCGGCGCTTTAATGAACGGGCTCCGCATTTTGATATATTGACACGTAAACAAAACACAACAAAAACCAAAACAAAAACAGCAAAGTACATAAGACAAATACAAAGTGCTCGTTTACCATATCACTGCGATTCGTACATCTATTTCTTTCGACTAAACATTACCTCAATTGCAAGTAGCTCAATGCATATATGCATATGTGTTGCGTGTTGGGGGCGTGGCTCGAGCCACCGACTTAATTCGGCGTTAACTGATTGGAATTCTAACGGGCATTGCAAATGATTGCCGCAAATCTTTGTGCTCATTAGGCGGCGGGCTAACAAACTTGGCTGCCAGCTTGTTTATTTAAATCTAAGCACAATCATTTGTTCAGGCACAGATCCACAGTCCGAGCCACCAAATTATAGCAATTGGCCAAGCTGGCTGCAGGCTTGGACTGTGCGGCACTCTACCGAATTTGCTAAAGAGGCTGGGCTGGGCTGCAATCATTAGGCTGAAGCTTAAGCCTAAGCTTGGGCTTAAGCCGCCGCCAAATGGCCATGGAATGCTGGCGATAAGGAAACGCGAACCTAACGAATTTACAACCTCAAATTTAGATCAATAAAAAGCACGCAAAAGACCACCAAAAATGAAAACAACGAAATTCGTGCAACGAAACTTTAATACACTAAACAATCAGAGAAGAAAAAGGAGATTATAAATGTAAAATGCTAGATATATTTTAAATGAGTCTTAAAAATGTATAATTCACTTACATCAGATATTGTTTTTACATTAGCAATATGTGAACAATGATAATTTATTTACATTTTTAGCGCGGAGGCAAATTAATTAACGATCGTTTTTTAATCAAGTGGAAGTTCTCTCTAAAAGTGTATATGCTGATGTATTTTATACAATTTTTTTTTAGTAAGTTATTAACCTTTTGTAGACGTCATAACAAACTGCATATACCCAACTCAATGACATACCAATTTGTTTGCTGGCAGCGAAGTTGGCCGGGGACCAACCCAAAAAAGCGCACAGAACAATGCCAAAAGCGTTGCTGACCTCAGTGCGAGGATTTGGTTAACTGGGTGTGTGTGTGTGTGTGTATGGGTTTATATGCAACTGTTTGTAAGTGAGTGTGATTGTGTGTTAAGCTTAACCCATTATGGCGCCTTATGTACGAAACGCTGCACACGAAAGAAAAACACACACAGAGAGTCAACGAGTGATTGACTGAGAGAGGGGATAGAGGACAAGGGGCAGGACTAGGACCAGTCCACCAGTTGCAATGCTGTCTGATGATGCTGATGTTGTAGTTGCTGCTGCCGCATCAGATCCTCATCAAAATGATTGCATCACGAAGAACAAATTTAAACGGCGATTACCGACCAGCCCCCCCCCCCCACGCCCACCCCTCCCCTTGGTTTGCTGTCACTTTCGGGGCCCTGGCAATTTCTAAAAATGCACCTAAACGCATAAGTACAACAACCACAACAGCATTCACTATAAGTATGAGTATGAGTATGAGTCTGATTCGGTCTTACAGTCAAAGTCAAACTATGAGTCGTTGTAGTTGGGGCTGTTGCCTGTTCTCGGACTTCGGGCTTTCACAAAATGCCGCTGTGATTAAATTGCATGGAAATTATAGTTTTCCGAGAACTTTTATGTCGCTTTAATTGATGCATCTCCGGATGCGGTCCATCCAGTTGCTGAAAGAGCCAAAGATTGTACAAGTTATGATCTTGGAGGCGAGTTGACATGTAGGCTCGGAGTATGCAACAAGCAACTTTCAACAAGCTCGTTAAGATGAAGGCCTGTTGGGATCTGTGCATAAATATATTGATTTTCTAACTTTATAAACTGTGTAAAATCCGTGGAGAAAATCTTAGCATATGAAGGTGACAGCTCGAATTGGAATTGTGGAATTGTGTTTGCCTTTGCTGCCAACTTTTGTTAGGCAAATTGGCTATTACACTTTTGAGGGGTAAGTGTAAATATTGTGATTGCAATTTGCAAATATGCTTTTAGATTTATGGCTATAATTACAGATAAACACACACACACACATACAGAAATGAATTTTTTGCATATATATTCATATGCAAAATCAAATCGTGCGGCAAACGTGTAACTTAATGCGATTTTGCTGTAAGCGACGCCAACAACTGCAAAGCCGCCGACTCTGGCACTGACTGAGATGCAAACAGTAAGAAAAAGAGAGACAGAGACAGAGACTGAGAGGGAGTGGGAGAGAATGAGAAGTGTAGAATTGACAAAGTTGATATTCGCGCAAGCGCACAAGTTTTCGCGCCTTTTATTGTCGGCCAGTTGCTCAATTGGGTCCCACTGTCCCCATTGTCCCACTGTCCTCGCTGTCAGTCCATCAGTTTGTCCAGTTGCCAGTTTAATGCTCTTGTGGCTTAACACGCAAATTAATTAAATGCGACTGCGCTTGCATCTGCGGCTTGTAGTGTGTGTTGCCAACAAATTGCTTTGTGCTCTCTGCGAGTGCTGCAGCAACAACGACAGCAACTGCAAACAACATGTTGCATACAAATTTTGGCAACATGCAGCAGTTGCGACTTATATCAGGTTTACACATATGTGTGTGTCTTGAACCCAGAGCCTGACCCTGACCCCGAGCTTGACTCTGACCATTAAGATGTTATCAATTCAGCTACCGATTCACATTCACTTTCCGACTTAGTATGCCTCAATATAAATACATTTATTTACATATATGTGTGCATAGAGGTCTGATTGTAGGGCATCTGCCCGTAGAGCAATCTCTTTTTATTAATCTGACTGAGTCAGGTGACTAAAGTCTATTTTAGTTTGGTGCACGCTATTAAGTTTTCAGCAGCATTTTATGCCTTAAGTTGACTAAAAGCACAACGATCTTAAAAACTGACATAAAACAAATTCAGCCTGATTATTAATGTAAGTTCGTGCCCATAAAAGGACAGAGAAATAAATATGAATAATGCATTTGGTAAAATCAAGGTCCGCCAAGATCTCTAAGACTATAAAATCTCAAGACAACAAATATAAATGAGATGATAATTACAGAATTTAAGCCGTAAATACACATAAATTCAAGTTTAAGTCGCAATAACTTTTATATTTAACTAAAGTTCCAAAATGTTGTTAAATATTAAATATCGTTGATCTGCCGTTGCTATTTTGACTTCAATAACTCCATTACATGAAGTACACATTAGCTTTAATAACGTCAACAGACGAGTCGATATAGCCACATCTACTAGCTGGTCAGAGAATTATAAAAGAATTATAACTCCCAGTTTTAGGGTTTTAAGAGATAGGGGCAACAAATTGGATGTGTGTGTTATCGCATAGATTAACAATAATTAACGTTTTTACGAAAGTCTGCTGAGATCGCGTACAGGGTATATACTCTGTCGAGTGCCCTCAACTGAAGTGCTCTTTTTATCTATGCTTTTGTGGAACACGACTGCATCTTCTGTCGGTCCCGAACCACCTGACGCTGGGGTAATTAACTCAACTGGAGCAAGTTCCAAATGCCGCTCTACAATTTTACAAATTTATTGATTGCATTTCATTGCTCGCTCATATCTGCTCTGTACATTTACACGTATTGCAAGCTACAACTCGAGTCGACTCGACTCGTAACTCTTGTCCCAATTTAAACGGCGGCATGTGCATGACAACGGGGCGGTACGCAGCGGGGCGTGGCATTTGCTCACTTATGTACGTTAAAGACGCTGGCAGCGTCATCGGCTCTAATTGGAGTAAATTATGTTTACACATTTAGCCGTGCAATTAGGTCAGCATTATGTGCCTGTGTATGTGTGTGTGTGTGTGTGTGTGTGTGTGTGTGTGTGTGTGTACTTCTGATTTGATATGAAATGCATAGTGTTACTCGATTTTCCATAATTAAGAACAAGTTTGTGTGTTTGTGGGGTCGTGTGCGGTCTGTGTGCTTGGTTTTATCTCGCATTTGGATTTCGGAATACTTAATTAGTTCTCGCGCAACAATTTATGAGAAAACTTACGAAATGGGTAGGAAATGCATGTACAATGTCGTAAATATATTTCTTGTCTAATATTTCTCATAGGTTAGGCGAGCAGATGCATAAAAATGTCAGCCGGTAGCTAAGATTTAACATTCGACGAAACCCATGACGTCAAATGTTAAGCCCCCTATATATAAGTTATATTGACTATGCAGCATTAATAGCAGGAAGTCCAACCATTCTGAGACGCATAGCATTATACATACCATTTCTAAAATTAAAACGAACACTCAGCAGGTTTTTTTTTATCGCATCACAGGAATCGAAATGTCCAACATTCTCTGGCTGACTCACGGGTTGAAGCACTTCTCAATCGCATATGGAGATTGCACGTGCATCTAATGCAAGCCCACGCAATTTAACGCTCAGGCTAGCCACGCCTCATGCTTGGAAAAAAGAGGCTTGGAACTTGGAGTTGAAAGTATCGAGCAAACCAAGTACATATTTTCCTTTATATAATTAGAATTTCACTGCAACTGGGTTTTTCCAAGCGTGAGAGCAGTGAGAGAACTCGAAGAGATTGCTTGTAAAAATTCGCTCAACTGGTTTTTTCTTTATTTGCTTTTTTTCACTGTACACCCAATGCTCCCATCGTCGCGGATTGCGTTCTAGACCGGTTATCGCTCATCAGCACAGCTTAGCTCGCTGTTCGCTCAATTCTCGACTCTCACATTCGACTTTGGCGCGACTCGAGACATTTTGCTAAGTTCAGTTTTGTATTAAAGCTGCGGCCGAGCTGAGCGGCTCTTTAGACGGACGACGGAGCCAAACGAGACAACGCAGCGCAACGCAAAAAAAAAAGAAAAGAAAAAAAGCAATAAAAAAGTAGTAAACGAGTTTTCCCTCCACCCAGAGAATAATTGGCAGCCATGTCGTGCAAGTATTGTAAGCAAGAACAATTGTGGCAACCGTGCCCGAGCTTCGATACGAGCTCATCTAACCAGCTTTGGCTTTACAGCGTCAGCAATTTTACTACTATTCAGCCTGTGCCTGTTCCTGTTCCTGTTCTCCGGCTCCGTTGCCTCCACGGGCATCTATGCTAGAGTCAACAACGTTGTCTACACCAATAATGCTTGGCTCTCCAATCAGCCAATCGACATCCGGAGCAGATCTGGTGCCAGAGCAGTAAAACCAACTGAACAGGATCAGCAAAATCCGCAGCAAGACCCCCAATTAACAGCTCAGCAGTCATGGAATAGTCAACGCAGTGCTCAACGTCCCGAAACATCTGCTGGTACGGTTAATCTAGTCCCGAAGACGCAATTGCAGCAGCCAAATTCAGCTCCAGCTCTAGCTACCGCTCCAGCAGTCACTGTGCTCGGCGTTGATAGACCAAATCAGGCATCTGTCCAGCCATCCAGTTCGTCGAGTCCCACCCGTCCACCAGCGCATTATAACTACCGCGAACGCTTTAGCTCCAAGCTCTTTCAGCCAATCGCACGCAACAATGCGCGAAAGAATGTGGTCTTCTCCCCAGCATCGATGCATTCCATGCTGGGCTTGCTCTATAGCGTTTCTAGTGGCCAGACCAGCGACGAACTGCAGCGAGCGGGTAATTTTGACATAGGTAAAATTGAGGTGGCCATGGACTTTAAGAATGTCGATCAGCAGCATAAGAAGCTGGTGAACACGCGGCTGATTGTGGCCAATAAGCTGTACTACAATCGTGAGCTGTCCGCACCGAATGATAGGTATGAAGCCTTTGCACTTGAATACTATAATTCCGAAATTGAGGCGGTCGATATGAAGAAGCCCCGGAATACGGCAGCAGAGATCAATCAATGGGTGTCTCGAGCGACGAACAAAATTATAAGAGAACTGGTCAGTCCGAGTGATATTGATGAGCAGACGGAGGCCATGATGGTTGATGCCATCTATTTTAAGGCGCGCTGGGCCAATGAGTTCTCCGCAATGGACACCACACCGGCGAAGTTCCGCCTGAATGGGGTCACGCCCATTACGGTGCCCATGATGTATAACGATGATATCTTTGCCTATGCACAGCTCCCGGAACTGGATGCGACAGCGCTAGAGTTGCCTTATGTGGACAACGACGCGTCCATGCTTCTGATTCTGCCCAATCAGCCAAATGGCCTGGCGCAGCTGGAACGGAACTTGGCAAGTACCAATCACGATCTAAACGCAATTGCCGCTAGATTGCGCCGTGAAATGGTCACGGTGCGTGTGCCCAAGTTTCGCATTGAGTTCGAGCAGGATATGTCGGGACCGCTGCAGGAGCTGGGCGTGCGTCGCATGTTCACCAAACAGTCGGAGGTGGATGCGATGCTCATGCAACCGGTGCGTGTCTCCAAGGTACTGCAGAAGGCCTTCATCGATGTGAACGAGGCGGGTTCCGAGGCGGCTGCCGCATCTTGTAAGTTAACTTCGTACGCAAAGCTAATCCATATTTGATGCTAACCATCAATTTTTTCTAACTTTCTCATAGATGCCAAGTTTGTGCCTCTCTCGCTGCCGGTGCAATCGCTCGAGTTTACTGCCGATCATCCCTTCCTATTCGCCATACGCACTCCCGAAACGGTGCTCTTCATCGGTCACGTAGTGCAACCGCTCCAGGCGACTAGGAGCCAATAAATATCAAGACACACCCCTTTTCCCCACCACCATGTAAGCCGCTTCAATGCGGCGTCCCTAGCCCCTAAGTTAAGTGTACGCATTTGCTACTTTTAATACAACATACTCGTAATTTTTACTTATAATACATCTTGAACTTTTTTCAACATATATTCGTAATACTTGTGTTTTTCTGATAACCTTTTTGTGGCTGATTTCTCAGTCTCTGTACCTTTTCCAGCAGCTGTGGTGTATCTCAGAATCTCAAGTTGAATGGTTTTTGCCCGCAACGCAAACGTAAAGCTGGCAAACCCGTTTTTGCTCAAGACAAATGAAGCAGGTGGGGCAGAGAAGGGAGCTGTAAGCTAGCTACAAGCAATAACAAGTAAGAATGCTTTGATCGAGAGAGCTTGACTGCCCAATACTCTGCGTCTACGCAATGTAATATGTGTGTCTGTATACAGAAAATACTTCCTCTTGCTTGTATATATATGTCTATATATATATATATATATATATATATATATATATATATATATATATACTATATACGATCGACGTCCATACTAACTTAACCGAACAGTTCACAGTTAATCAATGATATGTAAAAATAATTCATATTTTTGTTTGTAATTGATTCCAATTGATCTTGACTCTGCTGTTGATGCTGATAAAGAAAATGCATACTTTATGGAGTCGGGGATATTACATACTTCTGTACATTTTTAAGATGCCCTTTTTTGTTTTCATATTTCAGCTGGTTGGGATATATTATGTTTAAGTTCTTCTGACGCTAAACATATGCAAATTTCTCAATCGTGTTAATGGAACTTCCTCAATTAATAAACGAGATCCGCCAATATACCGGGAAGTCCAGCTCCAGCTGTAGAGTGATACTGGTCTATGAGTAATCGAAAAATCTCGTGAAAAACCCAACAGCTATAAAACAATGCGGCTATCAGCGCTTATTTCGTCTTGCTAAATACAATTAGACATTGATAATGAGAATATACAGAGAAGAGAACGCAGCAAAACAAAGTTCTTAAATAGCGATGAGCGGCAGAGAATTACTCGATCTTGAACCATTAGTCGAATGAATTTACTTGTTGCCTTCGAATATCAACTGATAAGAAAACAAGTTTCTCTTCTCAAATACGAAGAGGCAGGAGACAAGTTTTCGGTTTGGAGTGCCGTAGATTGAATACCCTTTCCGATATGATGTACCATTAAACTTTAGCTTACGATTTTGGCTAGAAGAATATATTTGGCTGGTAAACAAATTTGAATATGCTAATTTAATATGTTATCAACATCTTTTAGTTAATTGAAATGAAAAATGTAGTCATCATTTAACTATCTTAACTATTAAATTTAAACTTGTAAAATTAGGTCCAACTGATTTTCCAATTTCTCTTTTACAATGTAACAGATTTAGTGACTAGCTCACATTACCCTCACATTCTTATGCTCTGTAAATAAATAGATTAAAAATATCTTGAGAACAGGTCTAATGGCTCTGTAATCAATTTGCATCTCGTCATTGCTGCCAATTAGGTTACGTGCTTGAGCATCAGCGACTATCATTTCATTCAACTGTCTCACTCCTCATTCCCATTCCCGCGTTATTCTCTGTCACTCATATTTGCTCAGAATTCAAATTAAAAAAACATCTTCGAGTGGTTTTTATTCGTATAGTGTGTAAAATTTTCCGTATCTCGTGTATGTATTTAATTGTCTGCGAGCATTAGGAGCAACAACAGCAAACTATTAAAAGCTAAGACTAAAGCACAGTTAAAGCTTGGAAATACCGTCAATACCCTGAAAACATGTCCAGTAAAAACTGGAGACGACTTCAACTCGCAGTTGGAGCACTGCTGCTGCTCAGTACCCATGTGGCTGGCGATCCGGCTGCAGCCTCTAATGAACGCTTCGCACTGCGTCTGGCTACCAGCTTGGGGTTAGCACAGCCCCAGAACAATGTGGCCGTTTCCCCGCTCCTGCTGCAGTCGGCCCTAACGCTGCTGTACGCCGGCGTCTCACCACAGTCCTCGGCGACGGCCCAGCAGCTGCGTGTAGCACTGGAGCTGCAGCAGCTGGGTGACGCGGAGCAGGCACTGCAGCAATTCGAGCACCTACTCGGCCACCTGAAGGAATCGTCGGCTATTGGCTGCCAGCTCCGACTACTCAGCGAGTTCTACGCCGAGCAGCGCTACACCTTCAGCATTCGTGATGAGTTCGAGAAGCGGGCAGCGACTCTGGGCATAGGCGTGCAACGTCTAGACTTTGACGACTTGGCGAGCGTGGCACAAACGATTAACTACGATTTCCAAACACGGAGCAACTATAGTGTGGGCGAGTTGGTCAGCAGTGGGATGCTGGAGTCGAGCGGCGGCTCCGATACGCCCTTTCTGCACGTGTCGGCGCTGACATTCCGAGCACCCTGGGCTCAGGCCTTCGATCCGCAGGAGACGCAGTGCATCAACTTCTTCAACGATGGCCGCTATCACAAACTGGTGGATGCCATGTTCATGCAGCATCGCTTTAAATACGCTGACCTCCCTGGGCTGGATGCAATTGCGATTGAGATTCCCTTCGCCACAGCGGGACTCAGCCTGCTCATCGTCTATCCCAATCAGCCGAACGGTCTTGCCGCACTCGAGCGTCAGCTACAAAGCTGCGATCTGCAACAGTTGCGTCGACGGCTAAGTGAACACAAAATAGCTTTAACGCTGCCTAAATTCAATTTGTTGGCCCATACAGATCTGCGCTCTGTACTGGAGCAGGTAAGTCGATTCGATATTCCTCCCAGCTTCAAAGACAAAGTAAGCTAAATTGACTACTGAATCTTAAAGGTAAAGCTAGATATATTTGAACTAAGCATCCCATTCAGCTTGCATGATCAAGCCAGAAATATTACTGTCCCCGCCAAACTTGATCTTATTAAATGTCAGAACTATTCAGCCACAAAAAATAAATACTCTTCTTAATTTGGAAAGCTGGAAAGAGATAGAGTTTTAAACTTCTCTGTATGTTAAAATTGACTTATGAAGTAACTTAGAGAGTATCTTGAAGTTTGCAAATTGTAACTTAAGTTCTCTCCGCTTGCAGTTGGGCCTGTCGAAGCTATTTACACCGGACGCGCAGCTGCACAATGTGTTTAATTCGTTTTTGGCCAGCTCGGCGCCGCATTTAACAGCCGTGCCGCATACAGTGCTACTGGAGCTGAATGAGCAGGGCGCCGAGGCGGAGCAAACTTTTTGTAAGTCGCTCGAAATTAGTTTAAGGATTATGCACAGCATTTAAACAGCTGACACCTGATGTTGTTCTGCTTTCAGTTGCAACATTTACCGATCTATTCCGCAGCACGCTGTCGGTGGTGATCAATCATCCGTTCTTCTTTGCCATCGGCAATGACAAGTCGCTGCTACTGGCCGGCCATGTGGTCGACGTCTAAACAGGGACCAGGGACATACTCACATATTCTAATATATATATGACACAATATATATGTGAATATAAATGGAAAAGGTTATCGTCTTATCTGTGCCGCAATAATAACAACATTCCAAAGGTGATAAACGATCTGCAAACAAAGTCACCAGCTGCTCTGCTCAACTAGATTCCGAATAGAAAATCATCCGAACCTCAAAAGTCGCTCACTGCCAGCCGCAAATTTAGTTCACTTTCAGATGCTCAGCGGTCAACGCTCAACGCTCAACGCCAATCAAACAAATTTAAAGCGCAAGTTATCAATAAAGCAAATAAAAAGTCTCTACATATACATTATATATATATTCAGATGATCATGATGTTCAGCGCAATGCTGAGTCTATTACGTAAGCCCCAATTACTGCCTGTAACAACATACTCGTACATATAAGATTTTAATAAACTTGTACTCAAGCCTAATAGCAACAATAACAAAACCAGTCTATGAAAATAAAGTGACAATATTTATGGAGCGATCTTGTTGAAATTACAATAAACAAGAATGAACCGTGGCAACTGTGTGGTCGAAGATTGAATACTCTAGCAGCCAACCAAACGTGTTTATTTAACAATTGCAAACTCCACAACAGATTGTAAGTCTCTCCTTCCGACTGGATTCAAAATATATTGGAGCATATAAAATATAAAAAAAATCAGTTATCCTGAATCCAGCGAGGAATATAAAACAATAAACTATTGTTAAACTTGTTCCTCAGATCAGTTTTCAGAATGTTACAAGTTACAAAATACTGTTTTTTTGTGCAGATATTTCATAATACATATGTGGCAGGTATTGAAATTTATTTTGCTACTTGAGACAAATTTTGCTCCTACAAGAATAATGAGGATAGCCAAGCAGAGCTCTTCGATAAGATTCAGCTATTCGTCCCAGTCAAAACGCTTAAGGATATAAAACGTTACATAATTCGTAACATCATTCAACGACCCCTTGTAAAGTATGAGAACAAAAAAGAGACAGCTTTAATGTGTTGTTTATAGTCTGTTGTAACGGTATCAAGGTTCTTGTGGGAACACAACACATAATTAAATTGGAAATTTATTCCAAAATATTGGTTTTATATGCAAATAGATGTGACAACTGATGATTATGCGAATGTCTGTCACTATACAACTGCCCCGAGAGAACTTAAAACTAGATATCAAAAAAAAAAAACAATTTAATACAGTCTAAATATACATTTGCAGTTGCGTTGGCAGTCATAGGTGGTTGCCAGGCAAAAACATCAGTCGGCTTGGATGCGGCTCGGGATCGCAATCTGTTGGCTGCCGATCTCTACAATGCGATCGGAGCGGACCGACTCAATGAGAACATTGTGATTGGCACCGCCGTCATTCAGACCTCGATGGCGTTGGCCTTTTACGGTGCCAAGGGCCAGACGGCCATTGAGCTGAAGGAGGGCATGCGTTTGGGCATTGGCGATGGAGATCAGGTGTCACAGCGCTTTGGCAGCTTCCAGCAATCGCTGACGCGCGACAACAATCTTCGACTGGCAAACAACATCTACATCAATGAGAACCTCGAGTTCAAGGGCGCGTTTCGCGATGTCGCCCAGCGTCAGTTCGACTCGAACATTGAAAAGCTGGATTTCCATCCGCCATACAACAAGCGCACTGCGGACGGCATCAATCGGGCAATTGCGACCAAGACAAATAATCAAATCCAGGACATACTCAAGCCGGAGCTGCTCAACGATCGCACCGACGGCGTCATGGTGAACGGTGTGACATACTCGGCACCCTGGCAGAAGGCCTTCAAGCTAGACAAGACGGAAAAGCGCTCCTTCCGCACCAGCAGTGGTCAGTCGGTTCAGGTGGACACCATGTGGACACTGAACCACTTCAATTATGCCGAGGTGCGCAGCCTCGATGCCAAGGTCCTCGAGTTACCCTACCAGAACTCAGAGTTCTCCATGCTGGTGCTGTTGCCCAATCGTAAGGATGGACTCCGTGCTCTGCAGCAGAGTCTCGTGGGTAAGAATCTGCTCAGTGAGCTCAGTGAGATGAGTATGCACAAGGTGGAGGTGGAGCTCCCCAAGTTTAGTGTGACGTTTGGCGTTAGCCTCGAGCAACCCTTCAAGCAGGTAATATGTGTACTTTTCTAATAGTTTTCAATTTAGAGTAATTGTTTTGAAGAAACGCTTTCAATTGCTATTCTGCTAAAGAACTTTTTTTTTGTGTTTATGACTTGCATAAAATTTTTTTTATTAATAAGCCCCGGTTCTATTATGCAGCTTGGAGTTACGACCATGTTCTCGCGTGCCGGCGACTTTGGCAACATGTACCGCATGTTTGTTAGCCACTTCATCAACGCCGTGGAGCACAAGGCTCATGTGGAGGTCTCCGAGGCGGGCGTGGAACAGCCCCTGGAATCGGGTTGTAAGTTCAACTAACTGCTCAGTTAATTAGCTAACCATTAAAATTAAAATTGCTTTTAGTGCTCAAGGGCCTGTTCTCGCGCAACAAGAAATTTGAGGCGGATCATCCGTTTGCATTTGCCATCAAAAATAGAGATTCCATTGTCTTCATGGGACATGTGGCCAACTATGCCTATGTGTAAAGCAACCCGCTTGCCCCGCCACTTTGCATAGAGGTGCAAATTAAATACTCGAATTGTTTGTTTTTACTCCATGTATGCAAATTTGATAAACACTCGAATTAAAGCAAATAAATTTCGATGGCGCAAGTTAAAACAAACATTAATTCTAATTGATTGCAGTAATAAAAAAGATAGATCGACGAATTATTGAAGATGCTACGTTAGTTCTAAATATACATATATGCGGATATCTTAAACATGAGTTTCAGCGTTGCTTTTAAACGTCTTCAACTTTAGCAATTTAATAGGAGCTTTGAGTGTGGACAACTAGAAGATAGCCTGTATTCGGGCCTAGCTATAAGTAAAAAATAAATGCACCAAATAAGAAATTAAAAATAATACAGTGGGACTACTATAGTTGAGAGTGGTTCACTTCCGTATATACCAATATTTTTATTTTTGTTAGTTAGTTATCATATCAGTTATGCCGATCAAGAAAGAAGTTTTTAAAATATAAATATCGAAATAAACATCCAATTTCCTTTCAAAAAATGTAAATGAATAACTGTTGAGTTCTATTGGAAACTAAGCAAGTATTTCTTCCGATTTAGCAGAAATATATATCGAGGGCAGAAGTGATTCGGATACTGAACAAATCGATGTTCACAATTCGTGACATATTGGGATAAAAATTCACATATATATATGTGGTATGCTTATAATTATCAGCATATGCGATCATTTGGACTCACCTCTCGAGCTCCACATGCGTTTGATTTGTGTTATCCATAATGCTGTGCAGGGGCAGCGAGCTGGAATCCTTTTTGCCTATCTCAGACGCTTATCAGCTTTGTTTTCGCTTGATTTGCATTTATATTTCACTCAGCACACTCACACACATACATACACACATAGCACATTAATATTATCCGCTTAGGATTTGCACAAATACAAACATATTTCTCAATAATTTGCCAGGCACTTTGGGTGCGGGTGCGACGAAGCGAGCGCAGGCGCAGCCTGTTTTGTTTTTTTTTTTTCTTCGAATTTTTGTTATATTTTGGCTATAATTTATTTATTTTTTGTCACGGCTTTTCTAATCGCGCACATAAATCCACACAACAAAGCGACTGAATTCGTTTATGGTTTGATTTTTTTTTTCTTCTCTTTTGTTGCTGTTGTTATTGTTGTTGTTTTTGTACCAGATTCCAAATTTGATGAATGTGTGGTTAAATAATTTGGTTCAATGCCTGTTGGAAAACTGGTTCGAAAAGCGAATTGCGAATCGATGGATTCGCATATGGATTTGGAATTGGATTTGGATTCACTTTATATGTACATATGTCGTTTGTGAAGTGAAAAGATCGACACGAGTTTCCGAAGTGGCAAATTCAACGCGATGAATTAATTGCAACATTTTTGTGCGTTTCATTTATTTGTGGCACTGCGTGCCAATTGTGCAGATATTTAAAACCATTTCCAATATTTCCAATTGATGAGCGTTTTCCACTCTTACTGCACACACACACGCAAAAATATTCGCACACACACACACACACACTCAAAGTGCAAGCTGGTCACCTTTATTTTTTATTTTTTTCGATACATTTTCTGCATTTAATTCCTGGCTGCCGTTTCCCTTAAAAGGCAGCAAAAACAAACAGCTACCGATTCTGGCTGCCAGATAAGCAAACACACGCGTGGGCGGAGAGCGCGCGCATGAATCGCGCGGTGGCAGCTGCGCAGATCACGCTGCAGTTTTTCGCGCAACAAGACGACGCATAAGAGACGCTAAACGGCAATGAACCAATAATACGCAAGTGCTTTGTGCGCGCACCCAAAATTCGTCTGTCTCGCTTGACACCAATACACAGACTGAGCGATCCTCGAGCGTTCAACAATTGTACACCTTTCGCACGCTTGGAACACGACCAGAGCGCACTCTCACTCGCTCTCGAGCGCGAACTGGCCCCAACGGCAGCGCCAACTCCATACATCAATGCAACTCTCACGCTCTCTCACGAGCGAAAAAAAAATACTGGTTCGTGCTGTTGCAGACAAAATACTGGGCACGCTTGTATCTTAGTAGCTCTGCCTGCGCATGTAATTGTCGTTGTAATTGTAATTCTTGGAGCGCGCCCTCGCTTCGCTTGTGGTCGGTCGCTCGGTCAGTCGTCTCCCTATCTCTTTCTCTATCTCTCTCTCTCTCTCTCTTTCTCTCTATCTCTCTCCCCCTCTGTGTTGTCCCTTTGTTAGATTTGTTTGTATTGCTTGACAAGTTTTTCTTTGTTTCATGTTCGTTTTGTGAGTGGAATTTCAAGTGGACAATAGGCCCCTTCCAATGCCACTGCCTCTGCATTTGTTCCCCTTTCCAGTGCAGTCGCATCAGGTGCAGCTGCAGGCGCAGGAGCAGGCGCTTTTAAAACAAATGCCACAAATGTCTTAAGAGTTAAATTATCTGATCGATCTGATCGCTTGTAAGCCAGAACTCAACCGTTTAAGAATATTTAATACCCTTGACTCATTTGTGAAGGTACTTTGCAACACTGCTCAACATTTAAATAAATAAATAAATGAATATTTATATATGAATTTATTTACTTTTTAAAATATATTAAAAATCGCTTAATGTGCTGCATTCACAATATTAAAGAAAGCCCATTATTCTTATGGGCTTATCATTTCTTTTGCCTTCTTCTCATTTTACATTTTACATTTTGTTCAGGCTCGTTTTTTGGGTCGCACGTAAACCAATCCATAATTTAACCCAAACTGACAACGGCTTGTGTTTATTTTTAGCATCTCGAAGCGTTTACAATTAAAGTATTTTATATAACCTCTGCGATACCCTTACTTTTTGTACATCATCAATTTAATATGGATATTATACACTCTAGTAAAGTTGTTCAAAAAAAATATGCTTAACGACTGCAAAATGAAGATAATTTTGATTCTCCTCACGATTCTGGGTCTGTGCAAGCGACCATAGATAAATCTAGTAAATGCTAAATAGACAGTACTACCTTCCAAGTATTCCAGAAGTTCCTTGCCCTTTGCGCCTGAAACGGCCATTTTTGAATATCTCCTAAAATTATATAAAGTACATGAACTGCGATCGTCAGCTGAAGGGCAAGCAATGTGTATTACAAACAAATATTTAACATCGGGTTCAAAATTTTACTAACTCGACTGAATTTCGACATCAAACGCATTTAGTTTTATATTCGGAGGCCAATGGCCAAATATGCTTTATTTAAAATATTTAAAGTTTATTGATGATTTTATTAGATATAACATGATATTTGATCATTTTTAAGAGTATTAAATGTCTTAAATGTAAATGCCTATTAGAACTTGACGATGTGTCCCGTAAAGTAGACAGCATGCTGATCGCGTATGATGAACACAAACGGATGATCGGCCACAAAAGTCTTGGGTTCCAGTGGCAGGGACATGGGCACTCCAGCAGCATCTGGGGAAACAGAAAATAACAGAGCTGAAATCTTCCAAATTTGGTTGCACAAAGGCAGAACTACTTACAACTGACACCTGCAGCCTCGCAGCCAATCTCATTCACATCGATAAAGGTCTTGTGTTGCACCTTCGTGATCCGCGTCCCAATTGGCGTATCCTCAAAGATGTTGCTAAAGTCAGCCGCATCCGAGAACATAGTATTGATGCCCAGCTGAAAATGGGAGAAAGTCGAAGAAGGACCGTCAATAAGTTAAAAATCGGGCACGAATTTTAAATGATATAATATATGAGATCTTTAAGGTTGTGAAAGGAATACAGCGTTTCCCAACTTTCCCAATTTGAAATTGTAGTATTAGTAAACCACTGCCCACTTCCCAACCAAAGCTTACCTTATTCAATGTGGGTCTCAGATCGGTGTCAAACTCAAACTTGAACTTGGGCAGATAGACGGCGACACTTTGCCACTGCCAGCGCTCCTCGAGCAGCTTGAAGTCGACTCCCTTGAGCTGCTGCTCCAGCTGCTTGAGGCCGGTTCGCTGATTGGGCAGAATGAACCACATGGTCATGTTAATGTTCTCGAAGAACAGCTCAATGGCCTTGGCATCCAGCTCGGGATAGTCGGCATAATAATACCAATTGTCGGCAAACATTGTGGGCACCTGCACCGCCTGCGATTCGCTTAGCCAGAAGTCGCGATCCTTTGTGTCGTCATCGTTGAAGGGACGCGCCCAGCGCGCCTTGAAATAGATGGCATTGATGAGGGCCACATTCGTGTCCGGCTCAATGGTGTCCACCACACGCTCGATCTTCTGCTGCGTCTTCTCCCGCACCCAGTTGTTGATGCGCTCCAATGCCTCCGTCTCCTTATCAAAGTTGAGGCCCTCCACCTCGGAGTCAAAGTACTTCTCGGCCACCTCGCGGAAATGTGGCGTTACCTTTACTCCCTCACGTGTGTAGACCTTGTTGGCGATTTCCAGCACTGTCTTCGACTTGATGTACGAGTGCAGCAGGCGATGATAGGTTTCGGCGAGACCATCCTTGCTCTCCTTGGCCGAGGCATGCAACGTGCGCTGCAGCTCCGTGGCAGTTTTGCCCTCAGCACCGTAGTAGGCCAGGCCCAATGCCAGCTGCACCGAAACTGGCGAGATAATCACATTTTCATCCTGCCGATCGGTGGCCAAGGTTTGAAACAGTTCGGTGGCAAATAGATTGCGTTCCTTAATGGAATTGGCCGCAATTGAAAGCGGCAGCAGCAGCAGAAAAACTAAAAAGAATTCACAATGTTAACAACACTGGCCAGCAGCGCCCTTGGCTCAACTTACTGTAGTTCATTGCGCCTGCGTCGACAGCTCAAGACTAAAAGTGAAAAGGCTGCGCAGGCTGTCATTTATAGTCGCCGCAGCAGCAGCAGTAGAAGCAACAGAAGCAACAGAAGCAGCAACGTAGACGCTTTGCATTTAAAGCAGCACATCAGACAAAGGTAAGAGAAAACAAGTAAGAACGTTGCTGTCGACTGAGTTCGACTGCGATATACCCTGAGCCCATCCATTAAGCATATTCTCTCATTTCTTAAAGTGAAAAAAATAGGGCAGCGCATATATTTATTCACAAGCCCCAACTCAAATCACCAGCTTGCGACAAACGCTTATTTATGTATTAACATATATACATACGTACAGGAATCGCAGGTAAATATTATATTTAGCGATAACTTGGGAATTTCTTATCCGATTTTAATGAAATTTGTAAATCAATGTAAATTATATATTTATTAGAAACCACTGCTTTCAAAATTGTGACTTTTATTGCTTCGGAAATCGAAATGTATCGATATTCGAGAAGCAGTCGCAGTTATCGATTATATGAAATAAATTTAAAGATTCTAGCTCATATGGATAGCCGGACATGGCTATATCGATTCATCTACTTATGCTGATCAAAAATACTTAATATATATATATATATATATATGCTTCCTTCTGCCTATTACATACATTTGCACACATTCATTATATCATTTTTACCCATTTTCAACGGTTTCAGGGTATAATAAGAAAGGCAGTCGCAGGAATTGTGCGCTGCTTCTAGTTGCTTCTGGTTCTGACTGCACAAAATACTGGGTACACTCAGCACTCTCTCGCACGCGCACCCAGGGAGAAAGACAGAGAGAGTGTGTGTGTGTATGTGTGTGTGTGTGTGTGTGAAGCAACACACTTGAGTTGGCTGCTCGCCCTTGCACTTGTTGCACTTTGCTTTTGTGTTTGCGTTTAGATTTGAACTGCTGCTGCTGCTGCTGCTGTTGCTGCTGCTGTTGCTGTTGCTCCTGTTGCTGCTGTTGCTGCTGCTATTGCTGCTGCTGCTGATGCTGCCTCACTCTTGCATAGGGCTCCTCAACTATTGAGTTTTAGTCGCCTGTCAAATTGGAGCTGAGCACTGTGTGCAGCGTACAGCATGCAGCACATTAACTCTAATTTCGTGTTTTATGTGCTGCTTTAATGCTTTATTTTCGTATTTGTTTAGATAATGCATGGATAAACAAAAGATCAGCCCCAGCAAAAACAAACATTAACATTGCATAAATTGTTTATCGACTGTTCCACAACTTCTCACACACACACACAGAGCGTTCCAATTAAAGGCAACACGCACACATAAATTTTGTAAGCACTGAAGACGAGGCAAGGCGAGACGCAGTTTTGGCCTTATCCAATTTTTTTTTTTATCATTAAAAGGTAGAATGGGCAAACGTGTTGGGCTGGGGGAGAGGAGGAGGAGTGCACGCAGCGGACCACCGTTTTCTTTTTTATTCAAAGTACCGAAATTTGTTATTTATGCACAGTTTGTGTGAAACGCTAATAAATTTTAATGGAATTTTAAAAACATGCTTTACGGCCAAGCCATCGGTGACCAGCAGCGAGTACATAAATAAATCTCGCTAACTGAGCCCTTAGCTCTGCCTCCTTTGCCAAATTGCGGCCTCAACTGCCTGTTGCCATATCATCTTCTCTGCTTGTTTCCCTGCCTCCCTTCTTATCCGTATTTTTTTTATTTATATACTATCGCAAATGACTTTTGGCTACCGTATGCAACAGTTTATCAATCGTGAACAAATCTGTGCGCTCTCCCAAAAATGATAGAAATACTTTCCTATTTGGGATTATTAAACAGTTAATAATCAGATGAAAATGCAGCCTTGCCTTTGACAGGGGTATCTTGTAAAGAAGAATGCGGAGTTGGTTTTCGCACTGGAAATAATTTAAAGTCTAGTATATCATATATTCACAGCTCTTAAAATATAAATCTATTTTTATTCTGATATAATAATTGAAGGTAATTGCTAAAATGTTTTCCATGTTTAAAAACATAATATCAAATATAATAAATAACTTCTATTCGATGATCATTGACTCTTTATGATAATAATAAAATAAAGTTATCGGATCAATAAATAAACTACATGAAATTCGAATGCGAATGCATGAAAAACTACGCGTCTAATCTCAAGACAATACTTTATATCCCATCTTCTCAGCTCCAAGATTTTCATATGTGCGTGTGTGTGTATGGCTGTGAGTGTATGTGTGTGTGTTCATTTGTGTGCGTGCTTGTGTATGTGTGACAGTCCTGGACAACGACCGCAACTGCCAAGGCGCTGACCGTTCTGATTGAATGATTTCACTGATCGAGACAAAACATGTTAAAGATCGTGATGTTGTTGTTGCCATTGTTGTTGTTTTTGTTATGTCCAGGATGTTGTTGTCTTTATAGATACACAGCACGGCAGCCTGGCCAAAGGCACAAGGCAACAAAAACAATATCAAAAACAAGGAACGGTCATCTTAGCCACGCCGAATACCAAATATCCTTGTTAATTGAAGTTAGCTGCTTACATTTAAACTGTTGTTCCAAATATTTAGGCTTACTCCAATTTCTGAAGACGGACAAACTTTTAAAACAATTAAAACAGCTATTATAGATATATTGAATTAAAACTAAGAATGCTAACAAAAATGTAAAGGGAAAAGACAGATAGACATGGGTATATTAACTCGGCTAGTGATGCTGATCAATAATATATAAATATACTTTATGTGGTCGAAGATATCTACTTCAAATTGTTACATACATCATGACAAAATCATAATAACCTGAACAAGAGTATAAAAAGGAATGCCGATAAAAAGAGTCTGAGTCTCAGTCTGAGACACAAGTTGATGCTGCAGGTCGACAGGCGACAAGAGACAGGCGAAAGGAGATATGGCAAGGGGTACCAGGGGACCAGAGAGGGGCAGCAGCTTTAGCGTTTAGGGCTGCGGCTTTGGCTTTGGCGTTGGCTGCATGCAACGGCAGCAAAATGTTGCTGATAAAAATAACTTGCCACAAAACTTCTTTGAGCCATGCGGAAAAGCACAAGAATGATGAACCAGCAACAGCAACAGCAACAGCAACAACAACAGCAACACGAATTATGTGATCGCCTCAGCTCTCTGTTGTTTCGGTTTGAGTCTGCGTGCAAGTAACCCAAAACCAGTTGATGATAGAGCAAAAACAATATAAAAAAAAAATAAAAAAATATTGAAACAAAAGGCTCACAGCCCCCCAAAGTGAAAGAGACTGAGCCCAACAACAACAACAGAGTACAAACAATGACTCTTATCGTTCGTCAAGCGTCCCCAGCATCACCCTTCAGCTGCTTTTGTTTCTAAGCATAAACAATAAATGTTCACATAACTATACAAAATAATTGCAATTTGTATGCAGCAACGATAATCTAGATTCTAGAAGATAATCTTCATGAACGCTGCGTGCGCACTAAATGGCAGCTACTATTATAAATACATAGTTGTACTATATTTTATGAACTGTCCTACTTAGAAAGTCAGCTGTGGCAAAGATGATTTTAGAGCAGGGCGTCGGCCTTAATTTTATTATTACTTTCATTTTGGAGGTTTGTATTAGCGGAATACTCTTCGTCACAAGCGTCAAAAATCAGTTAATTGAGGAATGATGTAAAATAAATAGATGTAAAATAAATATCTGTCGATATATTTTGAATCCCATCGAGATTCGTCTTCTTGAAGAGCTGTGGCACAAATATTAATTATAAAAACATATACAGTTATTTATAGGTAGCATTTGGTATTGTTTAAGTAAGCAAAAAAAAAAAAACACCGAAACAAAATGTATTCCCTGTTAAAAATCTCATATTGGTCGTCAGGATCTGTGTTGTAAATTCAGATGCATTCAGATGATGATTAGATGTATACTTGATACATCTTTAAATGTTGTGGCTTAAGGCGGCTGTCTTTACTGCTTCAAGAGTTTAAAAGCATTAATATTTAGGAATATGATTTATGTACATGTATAAACTAGACCTGTTGACTAGATGCAGCTATGCAGTTAAGTGCCAGCTAAAGCGTCGAAATACAATTATTGTTTATGTTAATTACTATGAACATACTATTTGGTATAAATATCAACTCTCTGCAGCTGCTGACAACTTTCTTGGAGGCTGTTATACAAGCTGCGTAATTAGCCACTTGCTAACGCAATGTGCTGCAATCTAATCAACTGTTTTGGCCAAACACTTTGCAGTGAAAACGAGGCGAACTTTCATTCAATTTTCAACAGCAATATCGAAAACAACAATAATAACAACAACATCGAAAGCAGTTCATGCAAAACCAAAAACTCGACACGCTTCAAGAGAGATGTCGACAAACATGAGACCGGGACAAACACTTAACCACTTGACCAGAGAGGAGTTGACAAGACCAACAATACCAACAAAAACAACAAAAACAACAACAATGACAACTACAACACGACAACATAGATGACACAAACGACACGTCAATCTAGCCACTGCCCACATGCGGCATGCAACATTGAAACAGGATTTTCCAATTCGAGATGTTGCTGCGACAAATTAAGCTGAAAAACTGCAAGTACAACTGCAACAGCAGCAGGAACAATAACAAGAACAACAACCAGAACAACTTGATGCGTATTTAGAACTTGTTGTAGTTCTTCTCGTTAATTAGCACTCAAATAAGCGAGTCTGAAGACCCTTAAACTGGCTGCAATTTTGAGCCTGCTTGCAGCTAGCAGCTTGCATCTTTGCCTCGCGTGCCTTTCAGTTTCTACAAAATCGCCGTCATCTTTTGGCATCAAATAAGGCGTTTGCCGATGCAACATGTTGTTAATGTCCGTTAAGGCAAGCTGACAGCCACCCAGTCAATTGATAGCCCCACGATCTGATCTGCATCACAAGTGGGCGCAGAGTGGGGATCTACTAGAAACCAGAACTAGAAAGACCATCACCTCAAGGCATTCAAGGATCGGCGTTAAATAAGTACAAACAGACAATAGAATCTAAAATGGTTCAAAGGAAATAA